CCGCCAGCTGTGGGTAGACGGCCGCGTCGAGCAGATTGCACAGCCAGACCCACAGCGCGTTGTGGTGTCCCACGGACCCGAGCGCCTCGTACACCCACGCGACCTGGCCACCGTCGGCGGGCAAAAAGGTGGCCAGCTCGGCCGTCATCAGCGCATTCGGCAGCGCAAAAGTGAGCGCGACCGTGAGGACGAAGCCGAAGATCACGAGCGGCGGTCCAGCCGAGAGGAGGTCCTCGGATCCGTATATGCCGCCCGACACCCAGAAGAATCCAATCACGACGAGGCTGCACGCGCCGACCCGGCGCTCGGATTCTGCCGTGGAGGATGCCGTGTGGAGGAGCGGCGCATTGCGGCCGGGCGAAGCGGCCGATGGGCACATCGCATGTGTATCTGTGTCCGGGGTGGTGGATCCAGCTCCAAATGGAGCGTGTGCCAGCCTTCGGCGGCAAACAGCACACAGCCAAGCCAATCCAACCAAGAAATCACAACGCCCTGGCCAAAAATTGGTATCTCGAGACCTCGAGAGAAGGCCGCCCGAGGTAAGTGGAGAATTGGCTTTCTTTTGGCGGGCAAGGCCAAAAAACCCTGCCAGCAGAGTCCTCCTATATGCGCGGGAATGTACGTGAGAGCTACATACACTGAAAAAGAATTCTTGCTGAGAGCACACTGAGAAAAACACTGTGCGCGCAAAAGTTTAAGGTTATATAATAGCCTACGACCCTCCCACAAGTGCTATTAGTACCGACCCAAAAAGAGGGCAGGATCCCAAGGAGGCCCGGCCAGCCTTGAGGGAGTCGCGGAGGAGGAGGGATAATGGAGGTAACGTGGGAACAGGCCAACAGCCAGTGGGACGAACGAGGGCCGCGACGGCGGCTCAAGCGGGAGGGAGCGGAGACGGTGGGCAGAGAGCGAAGTGGGTGAGACTGACGATGCTCCTTCGACTTAGGGAGCGGTTCAGATGCTGGGCGGGCTTCAGGCTGGTGCTCACGCGAACAGGAATCGACGCGATGTGCAAAGCATACAAGAAGGGGAGAGGGAAGAGGAGAGACGCCGGTGAGGACGAAGCAGAAACTAGCGCAGACGAGAGCAGGGCAGACCCGGGGACTGGGGAGCCGGAGCAGACGGCATCGGCCGCCGAGGGAACGTTGGGAAGAGGCACGAGGAGGGCGGCGACTTCGACCGACTATGGAGGACCCGTCGCCAGACGACGCAGGGCAGAAGACGGTGAGGCGGAGCAGACGCGCAGGGCGAGACGAGGGAGGGAGCAGGACGTTGCGGAGATCAGCAGGAGGATGTACGAAGAGATTAGGAGCAGCAGGGACCCGAGGGACCATGTGGAAGACGGCTAGTGCTAGTCCCCCATCGGGAGGACGACCCCGGCTAGTCGCCGACCACACACACCCACAAAGAACCCTGCACAAAGATCGCAAGGGCGGGGGCCTGTTCCTTTTTACCCATCTCACAGTAGAGAGGTGTCCGTTTTTATTTATTTATTTAGGTAGATGTGCTCAGCCAAGGGTAGGGGATGAGGGGAATGTGTCAGTGTGAGGGGTGCACCAACCGCAGAGCGTTGTGTTTTGCCTTTGAAAACTGAACAGTTTTTTTTTGGCGCTGAAGTGGCGCCCCTCGTGCTCCTGCGGCTCTGGTGCGCCGCGAAGGTCTAGCCGCGCTTGCGTGGCCTCACGGGCGAGTGAGAGGGGTTCGAGAGAGGGCGAGTTGCCGCTCGCGAGGCGCGAGGCGCGCTCAGGCGGCGACGGAGCGGTCGATGCCGCCGATCGCGTTCTCCGCGGTGCGCAGCACGCGGCCCTCGAGCCCGAGGTCGTCGAGGTGTGCGACCGAGGCGGGGTCCTCGTGCTCGAGCAGGCCGACCATCGCCTTGCCGAGGTTGGTCGACGCCTCGACCACCACCGCGGGGTCCTTGTAGTGCGCGCACGCCTTGACCATCGCGGCGGCCCGCTTGGCGGGGTTCTCGCCCTTGAAGATGCCCGAGCCGACAAAGACGCCGTCCACGCCGAGCTCCATGAGCAGCCCCACGTCGGCCGGCGTGGCGAGCCCGCCCGCCGCGAAGGTGACGACGGGCAGCCGCCCCGCGTCGCGCACCTGCTCGACCAGCTCCACCGGCACGCGGTGCTCCTTGGCAAAGCCGAAGACCTCGTCCGGGCGGAGGGAGCGGAGCTGGCGGATCTGCGAGTAGACGTCGCGCGCGTGGCGGACAGCCTGAATCACGTTGCCCGTGCCCGCGTTGCCCTTGAGGCGGATCATCGCCGCCCCCTCGGCGATGCGGCGCAGCGCCTCGCCCAGGTCCTGCGCGCCTACGGGCGGTGTGTGAGCCGGCTCAGCGAAGGCCTCTCTGTGAGAGGCGTCCCCCTCTCGCCGGGCCGCGGCGCGCCACAAACGAACGGAATGGCGAAGTCGCGCTTGTCGATGTGATGCGTCTCGTCGGCGGCGGTGAGGACCTCGGACTCGTCGATGCAGTCCACCCCGAGCGCCTCGAGCAGGCGCGCCTCGTAAAAGTGCCCTATCCGCGACTTTGCCATCACGGGAAGCGAGGTCGAGCTCATGACGTCCTGGATCATCGCGGGGTCGGAGGAGCGCGCGACGCCGCCGTCGCGCTTGATGTCGGCGGGGATGCGCTCGAGGGCCATCACGGCGACGGCGCCCGCCTCCTCCGCGATCCGGGCCTGCTCCCCGTCCACCACGTCCATGATGACGCCACCCTGCTGGAAGACGGCGAACGCGCGCTTGACGGCGGTGTCGACCGCGCTGTCCGGCCGCGGGAGCGGCTGCCACGGAGCGACGGTGGTGAGGTCGGGGTGCGGCTCCGCCTCGTCGAGGTCGCGGCCCGCGACGGTCGAGAGGAAGAAGCGGAGCCACGAGTCGTCGCCCGAGATCTCGGGGTGGAAGCACGTGGCGAGCAGGTTGTCTTGCCTCACGGCGACCGCCGTCTCGCCGTCGGGGAGGGTGGCGAGCACCTGCGGGAGGCGGGCGGGGTGAGGGTGAGGTTTGGCGGGGAGCGGGGAGGGAGAGGCCGCGGTTCGGGCCGCCTCGACGCCCTCGCCGCACTCGGCCACCGCCGGCGCACGGATGAAGTAGGCCGCCTCGGAGACGCCCGCAGCGGCGGCGGAGCCCTGCAGCGACATTGAGCGGAAGCGCGAGTCGATCTGGCGGCCAAAGGCATTGCGCTCGATGGTGGCGTGGAGGCCGCCGACGAGGGCCTGCGGCTCAGACTGCTTGAGGCCGTCGGCCAGCAGGATCATGCCGGCACAGACGCCCCACACTGGCTTGGACGCAGCAAACTCCTGCAGAGGCTTGAGCATGGAGGCCTCGACAATGCAGTGGCCCTGGGCGGTGG